TTCGAATAATTCCACAGCATAAAAAACTATAACCATGATCCTAGAAAAATGCCTGCTTAAAAATATTTTCCACCAGGTTGTCGGTTTGTTTTAGTGGGCAATGTACATACGCCGTTTGGTACGTCGCGATCATTTCCTGTTCAGTCATCTGGGATTTTCAAACAGTTTCTATTGGATTGGGCAAGTCTATCGCAGTGAGAGCAGAGTATTTTGCAAAATAGAAAATATTTTGGGGATTATTGTTTGCAAGAAAGGGACTTTGAGGTAATTATGAAGGTGTTACTGTGGTCGTAGTAAGGAGCATTGACTGTGATTCTGAGGATTGTGTATTGAAAGTATTGTATTGCCTGGTTGTTGAAAGGTTTAGCTGTGCCTCACAGTTTTAGTCCATATGTCCAAAGTGGTTTTAGTGTTACCTTGTAGATTGTCAGTTTGTTTATAGTTGATACCTGTTAGATTGAGTGACTGCAGGATGCAGAGTAGACCGAAACTTTTTTTAATGCCTGTCGTTTTACTCGTGTGTACTCCAGGTTAGTCTTGAATTTATATGGAACTCGAGGTAGCGAACGCGGTACTTTTTGGGGGAATTGAGTTATTTTTACCTTCCGAAACAAAACCTATCATCCAATATTTCTCAATAAAATTCTTGATGGAAGGTGCGTGCTATAGTGAATCGATTGAGCAGGGCAGCAGAGAGGACCGTCGGGTACTTTAACTGGAAAATAAGTGTGAACAGAAGTAAGTCTGAAGTCCATAATCTTCACGAAAAAGGCGCCCAATCGTAGACCTTAAATTCACCTTAATGGTGGAGAAATTAACTGGTCCCTCTCAATGAGGTACCTCGGCGTTCGGCTAGATGGTAAATTAACGTTTACAGCCCATATCAATGAACTAATACAAAAAGGAAAAACACATGTAAAAATAATAACAGTAATTTATTTAGAAATCGTAAGATGCGGTCTGGTGTGATGTAGGTTTCAGAAAAACATTTTCTTTATCGTGCCAACGTTTCGATCTTTATTGAGCCCTGAAGATGATCTCAATAAAGATCGAAACGTTGGCACGATAAAGAAAATGTTTTTCTGAAACCTACATCACACCAGACCCCATCTCACGATTTCTAAATAAATATCGATTAACGGTCACTAATCACCACACATAATCACAGTAAGTTGTTTTCCAACTATCCGGATTTCGAGCCCTTAGCTCATCGTCAGGTTGAAGGATTTCCTGAAATGTCCTCTTGTCCTCTTTCATGTCGAGAGACGTAGAAATCCTTCAATCTGATGATGAGCTGAAGGGCTCGAAATCCGTATCGTTGCAAAACAACTTACTGTGAGTAGGAACTATCTTTTTAAAAAGGATTGAACACCGCACTCACTCCATCATTCATCATTTCTTGTAAGGCCAGTGTTGACATTTGCATGCGCTGCTTGGGGATTAACTTTGAACAATAATTATAACAAGCTGCAAAGAACTCAAAATAAGTTCCTAAGGTTATGCACTAACTGCCCATTAGAAACCAAGATAGATGAACTACATACAAACTCCGGAGTGCAATTTCTGCGCGAGTTCTTAGAAACCAATTGTCACATTTTTTTGATAAATGTCCTGGTAACGCCATAAGATTAGTTCAAGATATTGGACAAAAACGTGCACCCAGAGCCAAACCCAAAACACTATGGGACGTCAAGGCGAGGCTTAAATTTATTAACGCCTAACTTCGTTATTTAAATAATTAATTTTATTTGTTTGTATATAATTAATTTATTCATGTAGTTATGTACCTATTTATTATTACCTATTTATTCTAAGGTTTGTTATAAATATATGTAGGTATGTGCGCATATATGTGCATATGTATTATTACGTATTATGTACGTATATTTATTATTTATTTAATTTATGAAATACACTAGGGACTCATACATAGCATATTATTCATAGAGTACACTCGTATCACAACAAATGTTAGTCATAGGGTTTTTTTTATGTTTCCCCAGCATTGCAATATACAGGGTGAGTCATTTTTTGACGCATCATTGGAAAATCAACGGGGATGTGTTTAAATCTGATTCGAGGATTATTTCCTTTGATGAATACGTTAATAAAAGAAAGTAAGTCAATTTCCGGTGCACCATAGGAAAATCAACGTTGGTGCGTCTAATTACGACTCGGCACATTTTATTTTGTTAGTCTCATACCAAACAATATGCGAGTCACTTTTCGACGCACCATTCGTTACAAATCAGTTTTAGTAGCTTGGAAGGAAAATAAACAAAACCAATATTATTCAAACACAATGTAAAACCTAAAAAAAAAAATCTTCACAAATAATTTGATTAAGGTTTAAGAGTATTTTTTTTTCGTCCGATCATCGTTTTACGATAGACTAGGCTACTGTGTTGCAGGAAATGGAGGTCTGTTTGAACAATTATTATAATGATGTTGAACATTTTTGGTTTGCTAACAAAGGAGATTGTTATATTTATTTAATTTTTTTACTTTACCAGAAAAGAGGAGATTGTTATATTTATTTAATTTTTTTTTTACTTACCAGAAAAAAGGAGATTGTTACATTTATTTAATTTTTTTATTTTACCGCAAAAAAGGAGATTGTTATATTTATTTAATTTTTTTACTTTTTACCAGAAAAAAGGAGATTGTTATATTTATTTAATTTTTTTACTTTACCAGAAAAGAGGAGATTGTTATATTTATTTAATTTTTTTTACTTACCAGAAAAAAGGAGATTGTTACATTTATTTAATTTTTTTATTTTACCAGAAAAAAGGAGATTGTTACATTTATTTAATTTTTTTATTTTACCGCAAAAAAGGAGATTGTTATATTTATTTAATTTTTTTACTTTTTACCAGAAAAAAGGAGATTGTTATATTTATTTAATTTTTCTCTTATACCATAATCAAATTAATTTGTGAAGAATTTTTTTTAAATGTGTACATTGTGTTTGAATAATGTTTTAATAATATTGGTTTTGTTTATTTTCCTTCCAACCTACTAAAACTCATTTGAACGAATGGTGAGCCTATATTTTGGTACGAGACTAACAAAATAAAATCTGCCGAGTCATAATTAGACGCAGCAACGTTGATTTTCCTATGGTGCACCGAAAATTGACTCACTTTCTTTTATTAACGTATTAATCAAAGGAAATAAGCCTGGAATCAGATTTAAACGCACCCACGTTGATTTTCCAATGTTGCGTCAAAAAATGATTCACCCTGTGTATGACTACCAATGACAACAAGTTGCCAATAAATTGCGTGTTGAATAAAGGTATTCTGGGGTCACTTTGCATACAATTGCATTTGTTTTTTAAAATAAAAGAAAAAAAAATAAAATTCTTGTTCCTAAGTACGCTACTTTTGTTCTATCACGACTCACGTCATACACACGAATGAAAAACTGAAGTTAAAAAGAGGCTTAAGACTGCTATATAATTTAATATAAAAAAAATCGAACGAATCGATAAAAACAAGCCAGTTCAAGTAGAACTATGGGTCACCGCTAGATTTTCCAACATCCAAAGATCAGTCTTTACAATTCAAAGTCTTCTAAACTCATGTCAACTCTTCCTACTACGTTTTCAGCACAAAAAACTAATTCCCCCCAAATTGTCACTTTCCTTCATTGCAACCTGCCTGATCCATGTCCAGCGTAACCCACCTTTACAACCAGTCAGGTGACTGAAGCAGAAATAGCCCAGGGCCTTCCTAAGCCACGATATTGAACTATTGAGAAAAACTGGAAGAGCAACAATGATTTTAGCTTCCAACATGATTGTAGCGAAAATGTAGTTTGTACAGATTTAAAAAATAAAATTGTTTATAGAAAAAATATAGAGAACATCGATAAAAATGTATTAAATTTAACCATTAAATTCACCAATTTCGTGGTCCGCTTGACCAATTAATACATTACGATTAATCAAGGTTTTTAGTTCAGATAAAATAGTCAATGGCACGAGCGGGATTCGAACCCACGATCTTCGGCTTGATACGCCGCTGCTCTACCACTTGAGCTATCGTGACCTCGATCCACTCGAACACCAACTTCCCATCTCAAAAATGGCAAAAAGGAGGGAAAATTCAAACGGTGCGGTTGAGATGGAAAGTTGGTGTTCGAGTGGATGAGGGTCACGATAGCTCAAGTGGTAGAGCAGCGTGGTATCAAGCCGAAGATCGTGGGTTCGAATCCATTGACTTTTTTATCTCAACTAAAAACCTCGATTAATTAAATTTAACGTTTGATACTAAATAAGTCACATTGTTTGATGAAAAATAATTTTCATGGTGTTTTGTCAGCACACGTCATATTTATTTGAGCAATTTTTGAATCATTGGATTCGAAATAAATCTCATAAGATAAAAAGATCGGTCGGACGTTTTCACAAACGACTCGATGAACCAAATATTTTAAAGGATTGGAAGCATTCAGTGCCCTTTAAGGTTCATTTGATCTGGTCGTTCGACGTTTACCAGTGATGTCCCCTGCGGTGACAGTCAAATAACCATTCTGCAGAGCATGATTTGTCTAACTGTCCAATTATAGGGGTGACCTACCGAAGTCGACTCTAATTTCCGAGAACCCCTACCCCCGTCCTACTAAAACCTATTTCATGACCTGGAATATAATTTTAGAACTCGATTATAATGGATTCAATCGTGCTATAGGCAAATACGATTTCTCAAGCCCGGATAGAAACCGGTACAAATAAACTTTCCGTAGCATTACACTTTTATCTTTTTCTTTTATAATTAGTATTGTAGTATATTCAAACCAGAAGACGAACTTTTTGGTGTTTAACGGCTCATACAAATTGCCCGCTGGTCTAACTTCTTCCTTGAACAATTTACTTTTGCTCAAGTGCTCTTCCACTTGCAAAGTTTAATTTAATGTCTTTGAAAAACAAATAAAACTGAAATGCACAGCATATTCAACTGATGTTTTAATTTTTTTTTTCTAAATTGGCTTACCTGTTGAGAGTGAAGGTAAGTGATTCCCATCACGGTGCAAGGCTCAGCATCGCTCGTGTTGGTCACTTGAATCGGTAGGCCACACACTGCAAGAAAAAACCATACATTGAGTTTTTATTAATTTTTGATAAAGATTTATCACAGAAATTTATCAGAGAATCGAATCACAAAAAAATTATTTATACAATATTAGGACTAAGGTGTGGTGTTTAGTGACCGTTAGACAATAGTTATTCGGAGATCGTGAGGTGCGGTCTGGGGTGACGTAGGTTTTAGAAAAAACATTTTTTTTCATCGTGCGAACGTTTCGATCTTTATTGAGCCCTGAAAATGATCTCAATAAAGCTCGAAACGTTGCACGACAGAGAAAATGTTTTTCTAAAACCTACGTCACACCAGACTGCATCTCACGATTTCCGAATAATCAATTTGTTCATTTGATATTATCAAACGCAAAACTTCATTTGATATGCTCAGCAATATCGATAGAATAAATCTCTTTTATCCTATTTAACATCAATTTAACTGATTAAGTCAATTGAATTTTAGAAAAAAAACTCTATCCCGGAAATAAGGTATATTAATAAATTTATCTCATTGAAGACAAAACATTTTAAATTATAGAACTTTTTTTCTGAACAAGTTATTAAGCAATGAATTTTTTTTTACTGTTATTACTCTTAGTACGTAATATTGATCAGGTATAAAATTGTTGTTTCTGCAGATTTACGCGCTAATAGATATAAAAATTGAAACAATTCACGTCGTTATCGCAGGTTTTTACACGGAGGAGATGTTTTTAATTGCCTTCATAACTCCTCAAGGTAAGGGCGATCCATTCTCTGTAGCCGTAAAATACGGCCTTTTTTAAGGTACGTCGTGGGAATAATAATTGTAAACGTGAGAATTATGAATTAAAACCCTTACTCTCTTAGATACGAGGAAAGGCCGAATGATTTATGACAAGAATGGCCGATTTAATTGACCTTGCGAACTAATTAAAAGTAATTCGACTACCAGCTTGCATTGGCCTTATTGATTTTTTTCTATGCAAAATCACTGATACAGCAGACAAATCTTTTTACCTAAACGCATCGCATGAAAATCAAGTTTTATTTTCCCATGGATGTGTTAGTATGTTTTACCATTTTTTTAAAAGATATATTAGCAGAACGTCGGTAGAAAGAGAAAAGTTGTTTATCTCAGGGTGAGGGTTAAAGATAAAAAAACAAGAATAGCTGACCGTCTCGCGTGCAAAGTTCTAAATCGTGCCGAACCCGCCGTCGTTCTCATTTCTGAATTAGAACCCTCGTGTAGTCCTTGTATAAATAGCCGGGTATAATTTTCAACTGGGTAGAAATCTGAAAAGTTTAATTTTCAAGTGCTATTGTCTGAAAGCTACTGAATTCGCAAGGTAAAAAGAACTGCAACTAAGAATATCACTTTCCCTGTGTATGTGACCTAATTAAAAACGATATAGATAAACAACAGTATCCACGAACAAGAACTTAGCTGTAATACCTTCTAATTAGCCGAGGCGAACTTTAGGAATATTAATTCCCGAGAGAACAACGGAACAGCACCGATTTGCAACAGTGATTATGGGAGGAGAACCGAGACGCTTCTGGCAAAAAGCTAGATGCGTCCTGAACAATCAACTGTTGAATGGAATATGTCCTTTATCAACATCACCCCACTTTCTAAGTTCTGTTATTCTGCCAAATAGCTGACTAAAATAACCTTCTTTCTTCTAAAAAAAACCCGTTGTTTTACTCGCATTAAATTACTACTTAATCACTGGAGATTTTGTATGAACGAACTTAAAATAATTTGGCTTACGATCCATATTTTATACAACAACATAAGAAGTAAAGTGCGTTGGTAGCAGTTCTGGGTTCGGGTCCCGGCAAAGCCCATGGCTTTTTTTTTTATTGATAATGGTATGAACAATGAAAAGTTTGACTCCTCCACGAAACGGTAGTTGGAATTTAGATCGTTTTGGATAACGTGAACTACTTACTAGCAAGTTGACCTGTATATATTCTCATAATGTTTGGGGTCTTAAAATCATGAACTTTTCATAAATTAAATCCACTATTTTCTTGTTCCGCTTGACCAATTAAACATTACAATTAATTAAGGTTTTTAGTTGAGATGAAAAAAAGTTAATGGCACGAGAGGGATTCCAACCCACGACCTTCGGCTAGATACGCCGCTGCTTTACCACCTGACCTATCGTGACCTCGATCCACTCGGACATCAACTCCCCATCTCAACCCCACCTTATGAGTTTTGAAAATGGCAAAAGGAGGGAAAACTCATAAGGTGGGGTTGAGATGGGGAGTTGATGTCCGAGTGGATCGAGGTCACGATAGCTCAGGNATACCCCCCCCCCAAATTTGAACACACATATACGAATTGTCACATGGCTAATATGCATAGTTCATAACGCAAAAAAAAGAAAAAAAGAAAAAAGATCTGTCTGTTTAACTATCTATGTCTATATCTCACATTACATATATATTTCGCCCCCACATATCTATCTATCAATACCCATATATAGATATAGGTTGATAGTAGATATGTTGATAGAGATATATAGATATTTAGACAGAGAGATAAATAGATGGATGAATCAATGGATGGATGGATAGATAAATAGGCCTAACGACCATAGTGGACACTTACTGCGACCGGGGTAGACAAGTGGTTAGCGTGTCCGACTCGTATCTACCAAGTAGTTGGTAGGATCTTTAGGGTCACCCTTTATGTAGATTATTGTGAGAATACCTTTAGACCACTCTCGGCAAGGTTTCAGTTTCATGTGTTTGTTGAAAACCTGCCCTCCAAGCATACAACATTGCTCTGTGAAAACTCCTTAAAAAATTCTTAAGCTATACCATCTGATTCCGGGGCAGGATTATTTTTCGAATGGGCGATAGTCTGTACTAGGTCAGCATATGATATATGCCAGCAATAATCTTAATTTTTTCATATTTTTATAATTTCTGATTTAAAGCTATATCAAAAGTAAGCGTCCTCACTATTATTTTTTTTACATCTTTGACTGGAAAAACACCATATAATAGTCAACTCCGAGATAATTGAAGTGTCCCGGTCAGCAAGAACACATTAGCAAATATATACTTTTTTTCTGTAATATGAAAAATTAACAGCAGTGTTTTTTATAAAAATAATGATCGTTAATGAAAATAATATTACTGAAAGACAAATAAATCTAATTTGTTCAAAAAGAAAAGGGGTGAAAGAGAAATAATTAATTGCGTTGCTTCATTGAAGCATTGTTTTCACTTGTCAGAGAGACTGGGATTCATTTCTTAGCAAATTAATGGCAGCGAGAAAAAAAATATTGTTGAAAGTATTGTTTTTACAATAAAGTTCAACAGAGATAAATATTTATTTTTATGATAACATTTTTTTATAACATGTTTTTGTATGCAAAAATAATTTTAAATTTTTTAACGTAGTTATGCAATGTATAGGGTTAGTAAAATGAGTCCGCAGCGCTTTTAGATGATAAATTATAAAATAATTTCAAATTCTTTCAAAAACAGTCAATAGTAATTTTGTTCTTGTTGCCACCTTCCGTATAATTTTGTAATTCCCTCAACCCAAAATTTTTTTTTTATTGTTGGGCGATGAGCTTCTTAGTGTATTTTCTGCAGTTTTCAAGTCTGATGTAAAGTAAGAACCGGCAGAATAGAGTTTAGCAAAGACGGAATAACTAAAACTCTGAAAGTATTAACTGTTTTTTTGGACAGAAAGTCATACAGTAGAAATGATAGAAATGATAAATGATGGAGCGAGTGTGGTGTTCAATCCTTTTTAATAAGATAGTTCCTACTCACAGTAAGTTGTTTTGCAACGATCCGGATTTCGAGCCTTTTAGCTCATCATCAGGTTGAAGGACTTCTACAACCACGTCTCTCGACNCTATTTCTATTAGGTTGTTTATTATGGACAGTTTTAGGTCTAAAAAGTTCAACCAACCATTTTTGCCAATTTCCAATGTAAAATTTATATTACGGTGTAGAGAATTAATTAGTTGGAGGAATTCTTTGAGAGCCTCTAATGTTCCCGACCATATGCATAAAATATCGTCTACATAGCGTTTCCAGAAATGAACAGATTTAATTAATTTGTTCTTTGATTTGAAAAGATTTTTTCAAAATTATCCATGAATATTTCAGCACAAAGTGGAGATAATGGAGACCCCATTGGTAACCCTTTCATTTCGTAAAATTTATTATTGAATTTAGAATAATTAGATAGTAGGCATATATTTAAGAGGTCTATTATATCAGTTTTTACAAATTCATTAATAGAATTTTCGGTAAGTTTTTGCTTTATGAGTTTAGTACATTCTTCAACGGGGATATTTGTGAATAAATCAGTAACATCAAATGATACTAAAACACAGTTGTTGGGTACGTTGATGTATTTAATTCTTTTATCAGTTCTAAAGAATTGTTGATACCGAATGTACGTTTGAATTTGGTGTGGGTTTTAATCATTTTGTCAATTCATGTCATATAGTAAGTACGCCTTTATGCATCTATGGCTGAATTTGGCATGGGCAATTTAACGTTTATTGAGGTACTATATATACTGAACGGAAGAAGGTAGAATTGGTAGTCTTGGAACAAATAATCAGGATCCATGATAAAATAGCCTTCCGACCTGAAATAACTGAGTGATGTACCAGTTATTTAAACAAATTCAATTTAAACAAAGGAAGCAAAAGAAAGAATATGGCCATCAGATAGCCAGGCCATCAAACATTTAGCTCAAATTTCATTAGCTCAAAGTTGGTGCTGAATTGTAAAACCAATTTAAATAACTTGACTCTCTGCTAGATCAGGACATGTGGGATTAGAGGACAACGAGAAAGCGGACGCCCTTGCACGGAAACGGGCTGCTACTTCGCTGATGGATTTTGAATCCTGCTATGACTTAGGGAATCACACTATCAATAATAAAACAAAAATAAATGAGACAAAAACATGAAACAAAATGTAAATGAGGAAACAGTGGAAATCGCCCATTAAATACAAGCAATCCAAGT